ATTTATAAATCAATTATCCAATGAAAATTAACTATGAAAAGTCATGTGATATGCTAAAATTCATATCACAACAATATAAATAACATATAAAATAGGAAAGTTTATATGAAATAACTTTTAAAGTAAAAGAGAATACTAAGTTACTAAAGTTAAATATAATATATATACATATATATATTATAATTAATTAGAATAAGATCAAAAATATTCAAAGTTAATTTTATTCTTTAAAGTTAATTTATAAACAAATAAAATATAACTTTTTTTATTAATTTAATTATAAAATATTAATTTCACAATATAAATAAAAGATCAATTACAAATATTATAAAAAGTATAAATTTATACGCTAGATAAAAAATTATAAATTAAATAATAATAATAACTTTGCAATTAAGACAAGATATTATAATAATATATCAATCAAAAGAATTATTAAAAAAAATAGAAACTAAAATTACTTTTAAAATTACTTGTTAATTACTTATTATTTTTAAAGTTAAGATATATATAATATTATAAATATTTGATAAATAATAAATAATTATTTGAAATAATTATTTGAAGTAATTATTTAAAATAATCACTTGATATAATTATTTAAAGTAATTACTTGAAATGATTATTTAAAATAATTATTTAAAGTAATTATTTATTGTGAATGATTATTTAAAATAATCATATAAAATAATTATCTATAATAATTATCTTTATAAAATATTACTTATATTTTCTTATTTGTTATTATTAATATATATTATTATAATTACTCTAGTTAAATAACTTATTATAATATTATAAATTCTTCTTTACATAATTTTATGAACTTCTAGAATAATAACAATATGAATATTTTTTATTTTTTGATTATTTTGAAATTAATAATTTTTATGTTACTACTATAATATTATATTCAAAAAAATGACACTTTGAAAAAATAATACTTAATATATTATTAGTAAAAATAAAATTTAATCAAAATATTAATTATAAAATACTTTTTAATATTAACAAATCTAATAATACTTAGAAATTTTTCTTGAATTAGCATCTTATTATAAAAGATTTATAAGAAATTTTGCAAAAATATTTGTATTATTATATCAATTAATAAGAAAAAATAACTTTTTACTTAAATAACTAAATATTAAAAAGTATTTGAAGAATTAAAAATATATTAATTTTAGTATTAATATTTACTTATTCAGATTTTAAAAAACTATTTATATTATATACTAATATTTTTAGTTTTGGATTAGATATAATTTTATTTTAGAAAAATAATGACAAAAAAGAATATATCATAATATATACTATTTTATATTAGTTTATAACTTATATTTTTGACTATAAGTTTATTTAAAATTATAATTTATGGTTTTTATTGAAAAAAAAATATTTACTATAATATTACTAAAATAAATTAAAATTGTAATAATTAAAATTTTTTTTAAATTTATATAACTTTGAATATTTATTTTAATATTAATTATCTTATATTAATTTGTAATTCTAATTATAATCTACAAATTTACTTAGAATATTCTTGAATATTTACTTGAACTCAAATTAAACTTTTGATTAAATTTGAATTTGATTTAAAATTCAAATCAAATTTGAATTAGATTTTTAATTGGATTTGAATTTTCAAACTGAGTTTTTGATCAAATTCAAGTCAGTTCAAGCTCAAACTGAACCAAACTTTTTTTAAAACTTTATATGTATTGTTATTATTAATTTATTTTGTATGATTTATATATAGATTTTGAGTAGTATTTTTTATTTTATTATCTAAATTAATTTTAATTATATATTCTTATAATTATTCTTATTATAATATTTTTATTTTTATATTTAAAAATAATTAATTAATTTATTAAAATAATCACATCAAATTATTAATTATTTTTATTTAATTTATTAAAATTATTATATTAATTTATTAATTATTTTTTTAATATAAAAACTTGTTTTTTTAAAAAGTTATATTATATAATATTAAATTAATATTATAATAATTTGATTAATATTACATTTAATTTAATAAGTGTTATTAGATATATAAGTAAACAAAAATTTGTAATATATAATTAATTATAAAAAGAAAATAAAAAATAAAGAATTAATGCAATAAAGAAATTAATCTGTATAAGAATATTATCTAGTTAAAAATATTTTTTTAAAAAATTATTAGAACACAGTTATTATTATTCATTTTGTAAATATTTCATTCAAAAAAATTACAAACTAATGACAATATTAAACAAAAATTTTTTTAACTAAATTTAAAAATATATTAAATTAAAATTATTAATAAAATTATTAAAATATTAAAATAGAATTTTTGTAGAATATAGAATATAAATTCAAAAAATTTCTTTTTTTAAATATAATAACAATTATAATTATATATATAATTTTATTAATAAATTATAGTAAAAATTAAAATTTTTATCAATTTTATTAATATCAAAATAAAGATTATAAAATATATTTTAATATATATTTTTCTGGATTTTTTAGATTTATTCTAACAAAGTTATTCTAATTGCAATTATTGCAAAAATTTTTATAATTAAAACATAAAATTAATTATAAAAAACTTTTAATAACTAACAAATTATAAAATTACACATGCGATTTTATTAATAAAATTACCATAATTTTGTTGGTTACTATATATAAAAACATTATTAAATTATACAAGAAATTCAAAACAAAAAAAAACATGCAAATTTTTGAAAAATAACTTGTATTTCGAAACTTTGCCTATAAAATCATTTAACAAAAATGTTTCTTGCTAGATTTTGCTATAAATAACTTTAATCCTAATCAATATTAATTATATATTTAGTATGATGTTAATCATCACGAATATAATTTATAATTTTGATTAAAAAGTCAAAATTAAATCCTTTAATAATCAATAACACGAGATTTTTAAACGGATTCTTTTCGTATATATAAAATATGTTGCAAGATTTGATGTTTGCTATAATGGTAAATTACTAAAGGATGTTAGTTAAATAATATTCCGCAATCTCCAGAAACAGATTTCATTTGTTCATATGAAAATTTTGCTTTTCGTTTTTATGCCCAAGTCCCACCCGGGTTTTAATAAAGGCTTAAAACTTGGCAAATTCTTGAAATAATTTTATTATACATTTATTTGTGATAACGAATTTATTTATTGTTTCCTGAACCAGAATTTTTCACTATTCAAAGGTGGTCGAACTTTCAAGCGTACACACACCGAACCACACGTCCGAAATCAACACACCATCACCACCACCACAGATTAGATAAAATCAATTAGAAAAAAGAAACCACCACGATTCTTTTGTTATTGTAACTGTTAAACGTTTATCCAAATTCACATTGATGTTTTTTAGTAAGATATTATTCCTTTTGTATTTGACAAAATCTCAACTTTTCTTAGATTTTGGGGGAGAGGGGCGTTTTATATATATAAAGTGTGTGTATGTGTGTTGTATGTATAAAGGAGTTTTGTTGTATTATGTATTTATATATAAGTGTGTGTTGGGAGTGTGTATATTTTCTTTTACCCTCTCTTGGGTGCTCAAAGCGCTCGTCTAAATGAAATTGTGTATAATAAAAGTGCAGTTCTAAAAAAAGTCCATTTGAAAAAAATTAAAAAAATTGAGAAATGAGATGCGTGACACAAAATAATGGTAAGAGTAATAGTTAATGTGTCATACAGCAAAAAGAAAAAAAAGCAAGACCACCAGAAAAAAAAATTTGAAATTTAAAATGTTTCTTTGAAAAATTTTCAGTTGTTTTTTTTGTCGAAAAAGTTTGAAATCATAAAATAATAATTTGTTATAGAAAAAGCTGAAGAATCACTAAAGGATATTCAGGTTTATAACTTTGTCTAATAAAAACATTATATAACCCGCCATCGCCATTCCTTCCGAGTATTTATATTTTATATATATTTTTATATATCTATTATTCCCAGCAATTAAATTGATTCTTTTCTTCAATATTGATCGTAGCGCCTGTTACTCTCTTCTACCGGCGTACCAACGCCTCCACTTTCAGGTGAAGATGTAGTCAATGCAGTACTATCCTGAAAGTATCGCTCTAGACCTTCTGTCGTTGGTGTTGTAGTACCAGTGGCAGGACCATTATTGTTTCCGCTCGATGATGAATAATGATGTGGACTACCTTGGGCATTTGTCACCATTTGAAGTGAGCTATTTGTGTACTGTTGTGTTGGGGTTGTTGCTGATCCTGGAGTTGATGGTCCCGCACCGAGGCCAGGTAATTGATATCCAGGGGCAATTCTTGGTGATGAATGAGCAGATGATGGCGTAGTTGCTTCGGGATATTCATATTTTACTCTCTTTCCGGGGTGATTCCATCCCTGAAAAGCTGATGAGCCGGGTGAAGATTGTGGGCTCACATTTAACGGACTTGGGAAAGAATTAGCAACATTCATTGTGGTAGCAACCGCTATATTATTCAATGGTGGCGGATGCATAGCAAGTGGTGGATTTGGCTGATTCGAATTATTATTATAATCATCATTGTCTTCACCGTCAAATCCTCGTTTTTGTCCAATTAATTGGGGAGATCCAGATTGAGAAGTAGTTCCACCAACAACTTCAGCAGCTGAAACTAGATTATAGAGTCCTGGAGGTCGGTAAAAATTTGATGTAGCATTATTCGGTGTTCCTTCTTCTTGTTTGACATTTGTGTACATCGGTGTTGTAGGTGTTCTCTGTTGTTGCTGCTGCGATTGTTGCTGTTGTTGTGAAGATGACGGAGGTTGGGAATTTGGTGAACTTTCATATTGAGCTGGTGGTCTTCCTTGAAATGAATTCTAATGGATTTAAAGTTTCATTAACAATTGATTCATTTATGAAATGATTAGATAAAAATATCAGAATAAACTTACCCCACTCGAGACTACAACTCCTGGTTGGCCTTGTGGATTTTGACCATTCATCAGATTATAATTAGTGTATTCTTCTTCAATATGTTGGGGGGGATGTGGTGTATGAGTTCTTGAGCCTAAATGATGATATATTCATTACATGAAGATCCTCAACAGAGAATTCACCGGATATTAAAGAAATCGATGCTTACCTTGTGATGCGGATGTAGGAGGTAACATACCAGCAACAGGATTATTGTTGCCATATGAATAACCCCATGGTCGTCCTTCAGCGTATTGATTATTGAATGTGTTGGCAAAAGGATGAGGTTGCCCCCGCCATTGGTTATTACCTGCACCAGCACCCATCGATGGTATTCGGTTCATGGGAGCAGCATATGAGCTATGAAGAAATACACTTGGATCATCCACAAATAGTGGGTAAAGTATATCCCCGATCTTAAATTGTGCAGCCAAAGTTTTTGCTCGCTGAAATGTGATCCTATTATGGTGGTCATTGAAAGTAGTTCCATTAATATCTCTAACCTTAAATGTAAACGACTTTTCTTTCATAAAGATATGCAGTATTACTCACCATACACCTTTAAGATGCATTGCACCAACTTTTACGACAACACGTCCTTTTTCGTTTTTTAGTATCCCATCACGTTTACCACGAGACATTCCTACCACATTTAGCAGTTTGGTCCCGTTTATCATGTCATTATCTAAATTGAAAAATTAACGACGAAGGAGGTTAGAAATAATCCAAGCTTACGAGTTCAATAAGTCGATCTAAAGTACCTTGACGTCTCGCCACACAGATTCCGCGAGCATCAACCTGATAACACAATGTGGCCTCATCTTCCCATATTGTGGTGGTTAGTTTGGGGCGAGGATTATGCGGTGGCATTGAGCCTCCAGCACCACCTCCGTAAGTAGGCATAAAAGCACTACCACCTTGTTGAGCTAATGTCGCCACTGCCACTCCATTAGTTCCATTTCCTCCAACAGGCCATTGTTGTTGCCAAAAAGGTGTGGCTGGATTTGTGAAATGTGTGTGCGGTGGATATCCCAAAGTAGGACTCGAACCATTGTCCAAGTGAGATGTCATCATTGTTGGATCTGGTTGTTGTTGTGCTTGTTGAGATAGTGGATTCTTTGGTATCGAAGTCGGTGTAGTCACCGGAGTTGGATGTTGAGGAGAATTTTGATATGGAGTGAATGCGGAATGAGGTAAAGATTGAGGGTTAGAAGAAGGAGAGTTATTTGCAGAAGAGTTATTATTGGTTAAGGAGCGTGAAGCAGCTGGAGAGTTTGAGTTGCTGTTGTTCGCTGTAGGTGTGGTAGATGCTGAATTGTTCGAGGAGGTGATGGTTTTTGGTGAATTGGTGGTGGAAGAGGAAGAGTTATTGTTGGTGTTGGAATTCGTGGTGGTAGAGTTTTTCGTGGTTGAAGAGTTAGAGAATGAAGGAGCCGGAGAAGTCGGCGTGGTAGGGAGTTGTATTAAAGATTGATTAGAAGAATTGGGTGGTGATGGAGAGTAAGAAGCGCTGGTTAAAGAAGAAGAATCGTTGTAAAGCTTAGTTGTTGAACTCTGGTACCCAGCCATAATAAAGTGAAATTCGTATTTGAAAAAAACGTCTAGTTATGAAGCAAGCGTATGTACCGCCAATCTGCCTTTCTATTTTCTTTTCTATATTCCAGTAATTATACACACCAGAAGTAATTGTGTGAATTCGCATGTATGTATGTATGTATGTATTATGTATGTATGTATATGTATATATATATATATATGGGAAGTCGGAGTTTAGTAGTTGGTCGGTTGATATAGTAGAATATAAGAAAGCTTTGGTAAGTAAAAAGTGTATTATATTACGATTGATTTTCGCTGTAAATTCGAAATTGTGAGGTGTAATCAAAAGTGTAATCAAAAGCAAAATTGAAAGTGAAATTGAAAGTGAAAATATAAGTGGGTATGAAAATGCGTGAATCTTTATTTTATTTTAAAGTATGGTAACATGATGAAAATACAATTGAATATTTATCGATTAAAGAGTTAAGGTAGAAAGGGCGACGCGTATCATTCTAATGAACGATGCTGATAATATGTACACACACACACACGCGCGCACACACGCAGGCATTTTCACACTTCGCTTCGGTCACTCGTTTTTTTTGCAAAGACAATTATGATATGCTCAATACACACGCGATGAAGAAAAGAATGCAATACCTACCCAAAGACACTGTACAGTTTTTGCTGCTTCTGCTTCTCTTCCTGTGATTTACTGCAATGCTGCTGTTACTATAGTTTAGTTTCTTTTTCGACACTAATTGAACCTCGCCTTTAGTGTTTTATGTCGTAGATGTATGTAGTCTATTGTTCTATTTGTTGTATAAAATAGGTGAACGGAAGAAGAGAAGTAGTAGTACTAGAACTAGTAGTGTGAAGAGAAAAAAAAAGAAGGAAAAATGTGTGTGGATAGTTGTATTTAAAAAAATTGAAGATGGTGATGCCAGAGGGTGATGGTGGAGGGGTGACGGGTGTTGTCGTGCAGACGAACTTTTAGACTACTCTCTATTCAATATTATATATAAATAAATAAATGAATAGAAATAAACTATAATCAAGTAAGTATTTGTACTTTAGAGTTAAGGCTCCTCTTTTGATATAAAATTTTTATTTATTTATTTATTTATTAAATGTATTATAAGAACAACTGCTTATCACAAACATTTTAATATTTATTACGAGCAGGGGAACCCGAAAAAACGAAAAAAAACAATTTTTATTTTATTCGATTATTGATTTTTTATCTTGACCGACTGACTATACATATAAATGGCTGATTGATTGTTTATTTATTATTAATATTTATTATTTAGGATAATATTAATTGCTGGTAATAAAATAATAATAATTAAATAATCATTAATATTATCGTAACGACGAAGACAACCGAGACAAATCTACCATAACAAGTAACTAACGAAATCGAAGTATCTATTATAGAATAGAATGGAATTGGAATAGGTTCGGCGTTTCGTTGGTTATTATTATCCGCTTTTTTCGCATATAATTGGAAAAGATTTGATTTGATCAAAGGAAATTATTGTACTCATAAAATTTAATATTGTCGTTAATAATTACAATAATGAATTAATGTCTCATCTTAATATTATTTATTATTCATTATTTATTATTATTGCTATTATTGTTATTATCATTATTATTATTGGTTATATATTGATTGTACATACACACATTCTAAATTATATAATAGAGAAGCTAAGCAAGCGACCAGTTTCGCTTCTTCTTAATCCAACAATTATAAAATTTAATTCTTAAATTAGATAATATAAATAAAGAGGAAAGAAGAAAAAAATCTATTTGACCTTCTTGTAAATTACTTGTTTATCGAGTGAAACAAGCACAAGAAACCGGTTGTGTATGTGTTGTGTATGTGTATCTACAGAAGACGACGTTGATTTTAGGCATTGAATGTGGACACAACACAATGAAAATCCAATACTTTTTAATACTTTTTTATAACAAGTCTTAACCAATGAAAGGCAAAAGGTCTAAATTTGGATAATCTCACAAAAATATACGAAAACTGGTTGGTTTCACATATATACATCAAAATATAGAGAACACCATTCATATATTTCCATTTACTATGATAATACGAGAGGCTGTTGTTGTTTCCTTTGTGTCGCATTGATTCGTGATTTTATGAAGAATGGTAAAAACGAGAGCGCGAAAGAGAATACGTGTGGTAAGGAACAAACGAGAGATTAAGCGAAATTACCGATTGGAGCGTTGAGTAATCGTCGTTGTTAGTAATCTTGGTTCGGAGTATCATTTAATGTATGGAAAAATATACCAGTTAGAAACGAGAAACACAATATTATTTATTTGTTTGCGTTATATTAGTCAGATGTTGAGTTTATTTTACATATAGGATTTAACACACTGAGAAATTGCTAAATTCTAAGTCGACTCGGGGCGGTGGCATACGTAAATAAACCACTGTCATCACTATCGATTTGTTGATGAATTAATGAGCGACCATCATATGGGAAAAATAAGCGAACACGATGGAGATTGATAAATGTCACAAGAATTCTTCCCTATGATGACGATGACGAAAAGTTTATTAATAATAATAGTTGATGGATGGGTGGGTGCAGACAATGGATGATTAAAGAATAATAAATATTATTGTTAATGAAAAAAAAAAAAAAACGAATAATAAATTAATTAGTGGTGATTCATCATTAATTATTATTAATTTGGGAAATTAAAATAGCATAACGAGAAAGTGGCGGTGTAAAGCACGCTAATTTTTAATAGGTTTATTTCGGATCGACTGTTTAAATTTTAAATTTTTTTTTGGTGCTATTCAAATAGAGAACAAAAGAATCATTCAATCGTTTGGTTCAATTATTCAAAGAGACCATCAAAAGAGACCATCAAAGGAACGAAAGAGAAAGAAAGACAGCCAAGATTTTTTTTTCATAGAGCAAAAGAATACACACAAGGAAAAACCGATATCCTGAATTAGGAAACTGGCATATTGTATTGATAAATTGGGCGTTATAGTGATATTCTAATTTGGTAAAGAGATTTCTGGTTATCCTTTTTTTTTAGCGGTAAAAAAGGTTTTGAAAAACTACAAATGAGAAACAGTAACATCTACCATGATAACGACGACGACTGAGGATATCACGAATACCGCCAGAGTTGACTACAATGAATGAGGGCTAGCAGATGGGGCCCAGACAAGGAGTGAGGTGGCACAGTAGCCATCATCTACATCATCATTACTTATCATCAAATAAGATACCAAATTCAAAGAAAAGGGGTCAAAAGTGTGACAAAAAGCTTATGTGTAGCAGTCGGTTTTTTTCCTTTTTTATGATCAATGATTTACGAGATGGATGATGATAGAGAAGATCAAAAAAGAGTGTCACCCATAATGGACGAATTAATCGAAAAAAAGTGGGAAGAAGAACGAAGACAACGAAATACAACGATGACGGATGGATGGAGGTTCTTTATTTTAATTGTTTTGGAAAAGAAAATACATCCCAAATGGTGTCAACAAGTCGAACAGAAATTTTAGGTACTGTGGATCTCTGGGTTATGTATTGTTGCTATTGTATAATAACAAAAATCGCCGTGTACCTGCAGATAATTGATTGTGCATTTTGATCTTCAGCGTATTTTTTGTTTTTATGCTCCATTTTTTGTTCTCCATCTTTATCTAGAGATCTATAAATACTTCTCGCTTTATAACCGATGATTTACCAGTTCTTTTTATGATTGATTGATTCGTTTTCTCGATATAATTATCAATTAATATATTTAATGAACACCGCTAAAACAATGATGTTTTTTCTTGAAGACTCGTGAAAATTATTACGTATTACGTTCGATTCTCAAATTAATGATAATGATGCGAACTCTTGGTGTAACGATTCAGATTATTAAAGAAATTTAACTTTTCCATACGCCATGTCAGGCGTGGGCTTTTGTCTGCTTTTTTGATGCTTGCTTGAATTTCGGCGGTGTTTCTATCTTAATTATTTATTTATTAATATATCGCATTATTGTCAATTATTCTTTTTCGTGATTTCTTTTGACTCGATTTTTCTCAATTAATTAAATAAATAATAACTCCACAAGCAGCAAGAATTCAGCTGATTCTTGTTAATGGCAATAAATGTTTAATTGTCGCATTCTTTAATTTTACTTAATGATTTGATCGTGATTTTGATTCGAGACGTACGCGTCAGATTAGAAATGGCACCACTATCACTAAATCTTCATTCGTCACAATGCTCTTATTTTTTTTTTTTGGTAGAATTGGGATTCGATGAAATGTATGTTCTTACGGAAATTTTGTTATACGCATCGAAAAATCTTAATTTTAAAAGCCGACCGACATACATCATTGCACACACACACCATACATGTAAGAAAAAGCAAGAATGGTAATCTCACATAAAAGAAAGCATTGACCAATTTTATCAATCGGCAGTTCTTTATATGCAAAATAATAATAAACTTCCGATAACGCATTGACAGTTTTTACCAAAAAAATCACCCTTACCTTGTTGATGCCATGACCGCTTGCCTGTTACCTACCTTACATTTGACTTTTCGATAAAAGAATTTTAGATCAGATAAATTACACTTTTTTTGTATTACTAATTTCGTCTGCATGTAATCAAATACATACATAACAAGAAAATGTACATATATATACATATGTATATTAATAATTGTTAAGTTTTTAATAATTGATCATAACAATATTGGCTCGTTCGCACAAAGTTCGGTCGGTCAGTCGGATATACGTGAACACATGCATAAATAACAGAACATACATCAACATGTACATATTCTGTTGCTTCTGCTTTTCCCATTATTATTGCCAATTTGTTTCTTGATGTCATGGATACATTACTATTTGCGTTTCTTGTGTTTCCGCGATGATGCCTTGTCGCTCATTTTTTTTTATTGATTAACGATACATCCTATCACTACATTTTTTATTGAATTAAACCACGCATCTTGCCAGCTGTATGTTATGTTTGCGGTTTAATCATGATGTGCTTGACATATGAAGATTTGATTTTTCATTTCATAAGCATCAAGCTTCCTTTCGAACCATCATACATCTCGAACTTTACGATAACGAACATCAAACTCTTAAACATTAATCTGTGCAATAACAGATAGAAAAGTCATAGTTTTGACGGTTACATTTGTCTGATATCATCTCTCGCAATTAAGTAGTGTATATATGACATTTTGTTTACTATATGCATATACAAAATTGCATTGATTGTGTATGCTATTACTATTGAATATAAATGATACTTATTAATTAATTAATTAATTAATTTATGCATTATACAAAGTAGACAACCCCGAGCACAATAGGCTGATGTACTCATCACCTAGAATTCTGTATCACTTCTAATCCTAGTGCATGTACTACTCATAGAAAATGAACAGATATAGGGTATGACGATGATGTGAAGAGTGAGAAACGGGGAAAAATAAACAGCAACGGATCTTGTTAAACAACAAACACATAAAACACAGGGAGAAGACAGTGAGAAAGATCTTTTATTGCAAATATCAGAGCAAGCATGTATAAGCATGTAGGGTTTTATGCGTGAGCAAGTAACAGAGCATAAATCAAAAAACCGGTTATTGGTGATTGTTGTTGATGATGATGATGTTGTTGTTGTTGATGATGTTGTTGATGATGTTGTTTATGACATGGATCATAAACACTACTAAAGTATTTGATACCATCCGTTTCCTTTCTTTCGTAATTTTACCGATAGAATGATTTCGCGTGTCGGTTTCTTTTGCGCCACACGCGCGTGGTTCTCTATACGAACAATAAAGGCAAATCAACACATTCTTTTGTTCTTGCGCGAAAAAAATTGTTTCAGAAGAAAGAAAGAGAGAGAGAGAGAGAGAATTTTGACTCTTTCTTTTCGCATGATTAATCCCAAAAAGTGTTGGTCCTTTTTTTTATTTTGTTGTACCCGAATCGAAATCAATCAACTTTATCCACAATATGAGATGGTGTTGATGGTGATGATGATGGCGTGGTCGTAGGCCAGTTACGCTACTGAAACAAACAACAATGAAATCGACGCCACATAAAAATAGAAATGAGAATTTTTTGTGTAAATGCAAAATATTTGGATAATCACGCGCACGTAAAAAAGAAATTGGTTAAATGACGCGCTGATCGAGAAAACCCATTTTTTCGTGTTTGTATGTGTGTTACGAGAAAGGCGAGTGACGCCCAATTTCCTAATACTGCACTATCATTCGACGATCTACCTCTTTCTAAGTTAGGGTTTAGCCAAGGTAGAAAGTTCAAGAAACAAAAGGATAAATGAGTTTGGGTTCGGAGAGATCTGTTGTTGTTGTTGTTGTTATCTGTGTTGAATCGTGAAATCAATGTTATATTATGTACCACAAGAAATATTTATGGGAAAAAATTTTATACGAAACAAAACCACCAAAAAAGTAGCTATTTTATTATTCTCCTTGTAGAAGTTTTGACAATGTTTACCAACATATGGTTCACTGAAGTATAGGTCATAGTGTGGAAAAGTTTTATTTTAGACTTTAGCACAGGACGCAAAAGTAGGTAAATGAATGAACAAACAACTTTAACAGAACCAGAAGCAAGCAAGCGATCAATCTCCTAAGAGTTAGCCCGCGCGATTATTATGTATGGATGTTTTTCCATCCATTATATGTGTATGTACAATGTTATCAGGTGTCAATGATCATATTTTATATTATTATTATTACTATTATTATTATTATTATCATTATAATTGTTGTAATTGTTGTTGTTGTTATTAGGATTAAGATTATAAAAGCAAGGGAACCTAATAATGAAACCTGTCAATAATCTTGTTTATGATATTCCGTTTTTTGTTCTCATTGTTCTTTCAAAGAGCATTCATTCATACATTTATTTAAACCCGGAAACTAATCATAGGAAATGACGTTAATGACATGACTATCAACAATCATCATCATCATCATCATCAGTCATCATCGTCATCATCGTCATCATCATGCCTTCACGCGATAAAATATTTTTTTATTGTAAAAAAATAAAGCACGATCCTTGGAAGTTTAGAAAACAATTGACTCGTTGTTGTGGGTTATTGTGTATTCGATTGTTTCTATTGAGAAAAAAACGCCAATTTTTTTGTTATTATTATTATCATCATCATTATGGTATGTAAATGTGGGCTTCTTTATTTACTTTCCTCACTCGATTAGACAATAGTCAAGATTCTTATTGTTTAAATCTGGTTTATTTTTTTTGCACTAGTGGTTAAATATCATGCAATAAAATGAATCTTTGTACACCACGTGTACCGTTATTTTTATTATTGAAAAAAAGAATTTGATCTCGTTTTCACCTAGTTAAAAAAATCTTTATACATTGTCTATATCCTTACTTATTGTGGAGCGTTTGATGTTCTTGCATGTATTGATTTGAGCGAAAATCACACTATATGTAAGGGTTCATCTGCAAAGTTATAATACGATTCGGAAAAATTTGAGTCAAGGGGAAATTTTCTTTGATGTTTTTTTTTGACCACATAAAAGATAAAATCACGAGTAAGATGAGCAACTACACTATGATGGATGATTCTTTTACCAAACAAACTAAGGAAAAAAACTTGTTGCAATCCAATTAACGTAAAGAATAACACAACATTTTTAATCGTTATGGTGGTGTTGTGTTCGTGTGAATCTAATATCATTCTATTGTCTGTGTATGTCGGTCTGTATATTGATGCCCATGAGTTTAATTTTCAGCGGTCGTGTATTGTTGTATGTGTTTGTATGTGTGTGTGCGTGTGAAGGAATGTTTGTCGAAGGATTTTCTTTTGTGTGTTGGTTTGACACAATTTCTTGCTCTTCTGTGATTGCGTTCCTCTTTTTCAAATTCGAAATAATTACTCTCAATGAATCACAAGATTACTTTCCCGCGTTGTTTCATCGAGTTACTGAAAGTCGATATCGTAGGTAAGCTCCAATCTTTCTCTAATTCGTATCCGATTTTAAATCAAGATTCGAAATCCTTGATCTACAAAGTATACATACAACTGACAAAAGTAAATATATAAAGTGCATATCAATACATGCATATAAAAATTCCATGTAGCGCACCACTCAAAATGACAAACAAGCAAGCACGTAGATATGTACATGTATATAGAAGAGCAGAACAAATAGAACAGAAATCCAGAAAGGATTGATTATTGTAATTGAGCAACATAAAAAGCAAAGGTTATTTTTGTGGTTGATCCACAGCTTATTTCTGATTATTATTTCTGCATCATCGAATATTTATGCAGGGATGTATGCATGCATCGCATGCAATACACAATGCACACAATGCACCACTATATTTTGAATTCGATTTTTTCTACTGTTTCATTGTACCATAAATTCTGATGGTTGGTTTTACACACAAATTTCCCTGAAGTTATTTTAAAATTAGATATATCTGTCGATCTATGCTGTCGATGATTTTTCATGCATTTCTGTTTTATTTCATCAGTGTCATCGACTATCATTCTCTCAACCAACCGACATATCCTTGCCTATTCGCTCGAACACTTTGTCTGCG